ATATATAAACTTATTTTATATATAATTTTTTTTTTTTTATAATTTCATCGTATTCTCGTTGCGCGCATTTACTTTCTGATATTGACAAAGCGCACTTATTTCATACGTTTGTTCATAATTTCGACGTCATCGAGTTACTTGTTGTACGTTATATATACATGTACTCTCAATATGTAAAAGGTAATTCTACAATTCTCTAATGCTCATTACTATCAATATCATATGATTTTTTTTTTTAACGATTTCTGTACAACCATCAGCGACAAAGAGGCACAAAGTAAAAGTCGTATGGACTGATCAAAGTCAAAGACGATTGCAATTGTAAGTAAATGAAAAAAAAAAAAAAAAAAATTCGAAGCGTGTTCAAAATTTACAATTACTATCGTTTCGGTGACAACACGTGAACCAGAACGATGTTTACCTTGCGCATTTATGTTCATCATAGTCTCGTATTTCGTGTTTGTTTTATTGTTTATCATAACTATATATATATATATATACGATAATGACCCGCGCGTTTTATCATCGTATTTCGTAACGAAATGCAAGCCTCGCGGTTTCGCATAGCGACAATGCGATACTCCAGCTGCATCACTCGTTGTCAATGTAAACCGGCCACTTTCTTGTTTATGTTTATTGTTATTGGTATTATCATATTGATTCATGGACATGCATTAAATTAATTACATACTAATAAATAAATAAATAAATAATGTACATGTTGCATATTTGTGTATAAATATATTTTTTTAATTTATACGCACCGTGATGTCAGTTAGAGTATGAGAGAAGATTTACAGATGGAGAGAAAGTATTTAGAAGTAGAGATGAGAAAGACGAAAAATGATGACAAACAAAAGAGAGGAAGTGTAGGGTTTTAGACAGTTATAAGGATTAGTTGGAAGATCATTGGTTTCAGGACATAGGTACTTATCGCACATGGGATAAGAAAAATCCAATAACATGTAGATAGTTGATATTTACCACAAAGAGGTGAAAATTATTATTATCTAGCTCAAACCTGTTATAGCTTGGAGTCACACTGTCAATAACTAGCGAGGAAATTGATCCGAAACACGTGAGGGTTTTCATCACATTATGCCAACAGCGTGACTCTTTGAAAACATGCGGTAGAAGCAGTTAATCGCGATGAAACGAAGTTAAGATTTGTAAACACTTGTGATGAGTAGACAAGCCAGGAAATGTAAATACTACATGAGTCAGACGTTCAAAGGAATGAAGTGCAGTTAGATCTTCAAAGCGCGAAGGAACTTTCGAAATAAGTGATAATTCACCATTGAAAATCACACGGGGTAAAGAAAACGACACGGTTGAATCGAAAAAAAAAAAAAAAAAAAAAAATTAAATAAAAGAAAGAAAAAAAAGGGGTTGAATTGATTGGAAATGGGGACGATGACGGCGCGCAATATGGGTGCTCTCGTTGGGGCATTATTACCTGTACGACAACCTGACCTCGCCTCAATTTCGCGAACGCGATCGAAGGACGGTGCGCTCGTGTGCACGTGTATAATACACATACGTGTGAATGATAAAAGACCCCGAAATAAACTATCAGCAGCGCCGCGAAAAATAGAGAAAGGGATGGCAAGAGCCAACACGTGGTCTTGCCGTCAGTTTTGATAGGCCGTTTGGGAAGATATAGCCTTAATTAACCTGCCCTTACACTTGGTGGATGGCGTGAATGTATCTCTGCTGGGAAGTGGACGATTTTAATGTGTTACTTCATGCGTTACATGGTGTATGAGAGAGAGAGAGAGAGAGAGAGAGAGAGAGAGAGAGAGAGAGGGACAACATGTGTGCGTATTGTTTTTTTGCATCAAGTATGTCTGATTTCAAACTCACACACGCATGAAGAAAACCATCACTGTTTTGTTCTGATTTTCTGATGTCCGTATGGTGTGGGTGATACACAACAACGGAGGAGAGAACAAAAGTTAGTGCGAGCGATGCAACGATCATCAATATCAGCTTAACGAGACTCGTGTTTCGAAACATGCGGGCGTGACTCGACGGCCGGCAATCGGCTCGCATAAAAAACAAAAAAGTCGGTAGGGGAAAACCCTCGGTAAGTTTTCCGTGTGAATCCACTTTACGTCATTCCGTTGTCAGAAAAGCATCCCCTTTTACCGAAACCCTCGCCAGAGGAAAGCCAAAAACGTCCGATCAACAACTTACGATCGGCGCCCTTTTGTCGAACTTTTTGCTCGTCGGCCGGCTGCTGTCGGACACAACGACAAAGTCGTCCTCGTCGACCTCGTCATCCTCGACGAGCGTCTCGTTATTGTTATTCTTACGGTCGTCCGCAGTGGCGGTAGCCGTCGTTTTCGTCGTTACCACATTGTTGTTGCTTAAAGCACCCGAGTCCTTGGCCTTTTTGTGGTACTTGCTGGCAATGGCATCGGCCGCCGATTTCCCGTAGATGTCGTCCAGATCCGCGTACTTCATGATCAAGCTCTGGATCTCCTTGCGCTTGGCCTCGCGCTCCACGATGGCCGGGTCGTCGTCCACGACAGCTTGCGGCAACGGGGCACAAGAGTCGGGCTTGGCGGTCTCCTCCTCGATGACGGGCGTTTTTTCGGGATCAGCCGAGACGAGGGATCTGCTGGCCTCGGGTTGCTCGCTCTTGCCATACCGAGCTTGGGGCTGGACCTTGCGCGTCCTGCTCTCCACGTGGCCAGACTTGTGTCTCCCGTAACGCCGGTACGACTCGACCGGGCTCTGGAGCGACGTCGTCGACGCGTAAGGATCGTCGTGGTTGCTGCTCAAGTTCAGCCTACTGCCACTGTGGCTGTTGCACTGGCTATACGCAAGCGCGGGGATTTTACGTGAGTTACAAAACGAGGGTAGTTGTCTTGCGCGTTGGTCATACGTGCAGGTATGGCTGGAGCTTTTGCACCGGACGTACGGGTGGGACCACGGTGATAACGATATGTGCGACAAAGAGTGTCCATCATCGTTAATTGCAAGGTAGCGCCAGGGCGCGTTTAAAAATACGTAAACGCTTTTACCCCGCTGTCCGTGGGGTTATTATAGAGTGTCGCCGAAAAAGAAGAAGAAGCTCGAGACGAGCCCGGAAACGCGGGGAACATTTTTGGCGACGAGAACGCAAAAAACATGAAAATAGAATCACGCGACCTTGACGCGGTTCAAAGTATAAGTGGGTGATATTACAGCCGTCCACGTCGATGATTCGAAGCGTTTACGAAATCTCATGAAGAATTTCCTGGTGTAAGCGCTTTTTTTTTCAAATTAAATTTTATAGCTTTATTTCGTACTTGCGAACGGAGACAACAACTTTTGTGTGTATTATTAGCGAAAGCATATTTCTTTTTTTTCCTTTCACTTTGCGAGCGATGAACTCTCGAAAAGGACGTTTTTTTCCACGCGAAGACGCGTCGAAATAGTTTGCAATGGCTTCCGGCTTCGTTTGGAACATTTTTTAGTAATAATCTAATCGAGTTAATTAACCGCGAGATGCTAATTGCGCGAGCGAGCCAAGGTATTCATCATTATTGGGGGATTTGGGAAAAAGGATTTTCACGAAAATTAACCACCGCCACCACCACCACCACCACCGCGTTATACCATCTCTTTCGTTTTCTTTGAAACTTTTGTGCGCGCGTGTGTATCATCAATTGCGTCAGTGGCGAAGAAAAAAAAAACGGTCGAGCGCGTGCAATGTCAACACAAAAATTGGAAACTCACGATGATACTTATTATACAACGAGCCTCTCACCAGTCGCTCGATTATTATTTTTAGCTTTTCAACGCTTTTCGCGGACTTAGCAATGATATTCCTCAATGGGGCTCGGATCGCGAGAAAACACCGCAGAGAATCACACGTGCTCTGCGGTGACAATAGAAGCGAAAATTATTATGTACTGTATTCTTGCGCGTCTACCAAAAAATATTACCCGTTCCGTTCGCAAGTAAAAAAAAAAAAAAAAAAAAAAAACATTCTTGTCTCTTGCTACCCCCACAGAGCGATACTTGGTAATTTTATTTGGCGCACCTGCCAGGTTTATTCTTCGTCGCTTTGCGTGTCGTACCTTATAAATACTCGCCGATTTTATGATATTTTGAGGCAGCGATGATTCAAAATTCGCACAAGTGCGTGTTTATCCTGTCTATGTGTGCATGGTCAACCATGTACTGTACAATCCAAGTGGTACGACAACACGAATTTCCGATAAACAACGCCAGAGGACCGAGTAAACGTCACTTTAAATTTTCCGGAGCAGAAAAAACATCAATGTTGGGGTTTCATCGAGTCGTAAATCTAACGTCCTCTGCACCGCGCGCAACACTACCGCCACCGCTGCCAAAATCAATTATTGACTGAAGTGTAAAAAAAAAAAAAAGAGATTTCGTGGTCCTCGTACAGCTCGGTGCAAAAACTCCGTGGTCCGGCAAAAGCGCGAAAAGCAAAATAAAGGGTGTACCCGCTGGCCCTGCCCTCGGCGTTTCTCCTGGGCCTCTGGGCCCTCCTCTCGTGTCCACTGGGCGTCTTGTCCCTCCTCACCACCGGGTTCACGTACGGATACGCCTTTTCGGTCAACAGTATCGTCGAGCCGCTGCTCGGGCTCTTGATGACGCTTCGCCTGACCGAGGGCTCGAGGGTCCTGTCCTCCCTGACGAAGGGACTAGGCTCCCTGTGCCTCGCTTGGCCTCTACCGCCGGCCAGGCCCAGGAAACTCGGCTTCCTCTCGAGGACCGACGAGTACTTATCCTCGAGCCTGCTCCTCGCGCTGGCGGCACCCACGTCGCTCTCACGATGACCGTTGGGGCGCCTGTGAGGGTTGCCCGGGCCACTGGGGGCGGTGGTGTGACGGGGTCGGGTCGACACCGGCGATTTGAGCACCGAAGCGGAGGAGGCGGACGGGCCGATGGGCCGAAGAACGCTGACACCAGTGGCACTGGTGAGCAGGGTGCCCCGGTCGTTGACCGTCGAGGGACCCCGTACTCGGTTGGTCAGCCTCTGGAGCAGACTCGAGCACGAGTCGCTCAACAGTTGGGTCACGCTGGTCGTCGAGGACCGGGTGTATCGGTTGTTGGTGCTGCGCCGCGAAGACGGCCCCGTGGCGCTACTCGTCGACGGCTTTGGGGGTTGCACGCCGGGGTCCCTCGACGAGCCAGACGCGAAGATAAACATCCTGCTGTTTTTACGGGAGACTAACGGATGATCGGGAGTGTAACCTCACGGTTCAACTTCCTCGGGTGAAACTTCAGGCAGCGCTTGTCATCGCACCACCACTGATTCTTTATCTCAGATCCCAAAGCGAGAGAGACGCGCGTCGCCTATCGAAAATAGACAGGGCAGCGCGTAGTGCAACAACCAACGGTAACGTATCGATGCGCACCCCGGCAGATGATGGCCCTGGTATAGCGTTACACCACACAACTCGATGATAATGTACGGCCGTTGTGTTTACCTCGTAGTCAGCGCGCACTTTTCAGAGTAAATGAGTAACGAGTGAAAGGGACGAGTCGTCGTCGCTTGATGATATTGCACTCGATGTGTTATTTATTCGTTCAACCGGGCTTTTAGTTTATTTTGAACTCGTCCTTGCGCATTTTCATGGTACCGATTAGTTAGTACTGGTGGCCCTTTGTTGATCCACGGCGACTCATTGACGGGTCGCCGCACTCGCGTCGAAAACAAAAGTGAGTAGAACAGAGCACGACAAGTATTACCTTGACCTTCCAACAACGTTGAAAACTATACACACACGAGAGGAGAAGGAGGAGGAGGAGGAGGAGCGAAAACAATAACAATTAAAGATGGGTTATATGTTGTAGAGTGGCGAGCGGTCATCGGGCAGATTGGGAGTCGTCGATCGCCCGTGGGCCACTGAGTGCTCGCGCGGGTGCTTCTACCGCCGCTAATTCGTCGACGGGGGAATTTTCGAGAGGGGAGGACCCGCTGCGAAGACGACGTCGACGATCCAAGACCGAGCCGGGGGGGCTCTCTCTCGAGAGGGAGAGAAGGGAGGAACGACTAACGCGCAAACTACTAAAAATAATCGGGCAGCCGAACCGAGGCTGGCTCTTTTCTACGCGGCCCCGACCGAGGCGAGGGAGACGGAGGAGAAATTCTGATATGTGACTTTTTTTTTTTTCCTTTTTTTGGGATAAAAAAAGAGAGAAGACACGCCAATATATGGGCACCCGTAACCATCGACCTGTAAATCAATCGAAAGCCCTTGTTGGTTGTATTCGTATGGCGCAGGGTTGGGGGTATTTTCAAGACTCTCAGTTGGGATCGATTAGTTCGTTTGCGATACCAAACTTGCGTACACGCCGATTTGGCTGGCGGGTGTAAACACCGGCCGGGTATTTATAGATCCTCAAGAGAGAGAAAAAAGCGCGAGTCTCAAGTTCGGGTGTTATAGGAAATTTCGATGTTTGGGAAAAAGTTTAATGAATTGAAAAGACTGTCGGGGGCACGCAAACATGTGCCGATATAGAAAAGACCTGCTGGTCACGTTTATTCGTGGACACGAGATGGTAGAGAAAAAAATAAGAAATATGTCAGACGCACGTGTTTTTGCGCTCGATGAGACGTCTCAAATGATATATTTTTTCTTCCTCCCTCCCTACATAAAGCTTTGCAATTTACACTTTTAAAGTTTGGACGCTGCAGCAACTGAATTTTAAAGATTGATTAATAACGCATGACAGTGCGATCGACAAAAATAGGCAATAGTACGATATGGAAGAGCTTGCAACGAAAAAAACAAAAAGAGTCATCAAGATCAGCCCCGCGTACGAGGAAAGAGAGAGCCCTGTGCTCCATGGGTAACGAGAACGCAGTGCTGTCGCGAGACAAGGTCAGCAGCATCATGAGTGCGCTTCCTCGTTGCCGTCCTCTTTGCGGATCTCATTGCGAGGAGAAATAAGGGAGGGGAGAGCCTCCCACGCGAGTACGGCTCTCGTAGTTTCCGCGAATGTCCAAGAGTGCAACGCGTTACAATTGTTGTTATGTGGCTCGCGCGCGGCGCAAATAACGCGTATAAATAACCTCCGGAGGGGGAGGAAAATTGAGGCTCTATTCTGACCGAATTTGCCCCCCCCCTCCTCCCACAGTTACAGCTGGCTTTTCTATTCCGGAAAATTATTCGAGTGCGCAGGAGAGAGAGGCTGAACTTGAAAGCCACGCTCTCGGCGAAAACTTTAATTGACGCGCCGATGCTGCTTCGGTTTTCATCGCCAATGCGCCCATTGATTTACGACACTGGGTCAGCATCGTTTCATTTCAAACTGCGTCTTCTTTTCCCCCGCTTCATTTGACGGATCGCCCATCGGAGAGTTGGTGCAATACATAAAGCGCGCCACGTGAATGAATTTAGCGATTTTGGATCCCGGCTGCTGAAAAATTGGTCGGAAAAGTGCAGATCGAGAAACTTCAACTCGGCGTAGATTCCGCTCTTTTTTCTTTTCTCCTTGAAAGTTACTTATTACCTTTCGATAAGAAGATGACGATCTCGTTGTATCGATGAACCTAAATACGCAGTTTGGGGCAACAAATCTACCTCGACGCTTTATAACGCGACGAGGGTGCGCAAAGACCGTAGGGTCGTTTGCCAAAGGAAACTTGATACCACGACGTACTTGTGTGCAAATTGTGTACGCGGGCAGCGGGCAGAGTTTATTTGGCTTGTTCGCGTGTGCGGCTCTCCGCTGTACCACCACGTTATAAAATTGCCCGCGGTGATTAGTACAGTTAATTTTAGGATTCACGCGGCCTACTATACTTGATTCAATGATATGCCCACTGTATACTCGCACTCGCGAACGCGGTGGCTTCTGCAATAAGTTACGACAGCAGCTGGGTGCATCTTAATGTTTTTTCCCCCCCAATATATTCCGCCGCGTTTTGTCAAAGTTTCAAATATTCAGCGCCGACAGATCGCGCGAGCACTCAACGTGGACCGAAAAAGAATCGGCCGTTAGCGAGAAGGAACAAAGAGCAACACATCTCAACAGTAATTGCAATAGTGTTCTCCTCTCTCTCTCTCTCGTGGTTTATGTTTACCAGAGCCAGCTGGCCGCGGGAAGTCGTTTTGCGCTACGCAAACACACACGTACGCACCTACACAAGCGAAATCGATACGCATACCGATACAACGTGTTTGCATTGTGTTTTAAAAATCGTTACTGGGTCAATAGCTAGCCCGAACTAGATCAGTTCGCGGTCGTCGTCTGAGTAACATCATCTGCTGCTGGATGCTCTTGACGAGAGGTGTATATGTAGATAGGCCGTTTCGCGATCGCGTTGCAACTGCTTTTGAACTTGTGAGGGTTTTGGATTTTTTTTTTCCCCCTTAATTATTTGACTCGCGGTTGGTTGGCACGCGTGTGCCACGTAGGCGATTTTCTCACTTAGCAGCTCTGAATAGAGCAGAAAATTTAGTGACGGGCTCTAGTTTGCCGGCGATTTCACTGCGATGAATCATGATTTTTGGGGTAATAGCTGCACTGACGCGAAACAAGTGTCAAAAACAATCGGTTGAAGAATTTCTTACGGGTGAACAAAGGAAATTGAACTAAAAAAAAAAAAAAAATAATAATAATGAAAGTCGTGTTTGATCAAGAACATTCAATGATTGAGAAAGGCGCGAATCGATGTCTCAAGTGAGCTTATGCTTGTAGTATTTACTCGTGTACACTTTACACACTCCCGAACCCGATCGCGTCAATTCAACAGATCCCACAGTTGCGCTCCATCAGTCAAAAGTTGTCCAAGTACGCTCGTTATTAATGTATATTATATAAGTATTGTGTATTCCAAGTGCGCAGTTTCGAACACACACGAGTATCTGTGTTCATTCATCAAAGAAAGGTAAGAAGCGATGATTATAATTGGTGGCGTCATCGAGCAACAACGAAACGAGCAGCTAACAAGACACCGTTGTACTTTAGGGCAGACACTTGCGTTATCATACAAACGTTGCGGTTTTCGGCAGATTTCTTGAATTGTTTCGTGCACGTGTATACAAATATATGATATGCGATGACAGTAACGGAATGTGTATTTTTCGGGGGTAGGGGGGGGGGGCAGATAAAAGCGGCGCTGCTGTTGGAACACGCGTTACGTACAGTTTAATGTGGTACACGCGTTGAAAGCCGCTATCGGTGCGCTCGATGCATTTGAGCTTTAGCTTCCCCCCCCCCCCCCGAAGAATGAGTATTTTTGACTATCGCTTGCTTACGCGATGATTCGTCTTCTATGAATCGTTGGAAATTCGAATGAAAATCACTAGCTTTATTTTATTTTTTCTTTATTTTTAATCGAACAAAAGCTCTTTTTCATCGCTTTGACGCCGAGTTTCATCAGCTATTGTGCAGTTGATTGTGTTTTTAACGAGGAACAAACAAAAATAGACCCGTCACGCCCAACCGAACTCTACGACTATCATTTTTTGTAAATGATACTTTTGTTGTGACGAAAAAAAAAAAAATAAATAAATAAATAAAGTGTCGCACAAATTGATGCCATTGTTATTTTAGTTGTCACTCACAATTTTCTCAGCAGTAGTAGCAACACCACCGCAACAACGGCCATGCACGTCACCACCAGCACTACGTCGACGACGAGCGTTCAGCACCTCGACGAACGCAGTGCTGATCAGCGGTGCTGGATGATGATGGGCCTCTGGCATCACTACGGCCACCCTCCTCTGTCCATTGTTGTTGTTGTTGTTGTTGTTGTTGTTGTTACTATTATTGTTGTTGTTGTTGTTATCTTTGTTAATGTTGGACTTTTGCTGCACGGGGTGTTGTAGCCAATTGGCCGGGCAAAGCCACCAGCTCTTTTCGACTATGTGCTGCTGACGGGGTTGCTGTTGTTCCGTGAACACGAGCCGTCTGGGTGGCGGCGGAGGTGGTGGTCGGGGCCTAGGAGGGGCCATCATCACTCGGAAGGTCACGCTGGGCTCCAGCTCTTGTCTGGACATTGCTCCGGGCATCGGGGGGGCTGTGCACAGCTTTCGATGTTACTCCACTGCTGCTGTTGCTACTGCTATGATGATGGGTCTCGGCACGTCTTTCGAGGGCAGGCAAAGAGAGAGATAGATGGACTCGAGCCTCCCCGTAGTATTTCTGGAAGCGCTTGGCCTCCTTCGTGCAGCGAGTGCGAGTTGGCTACTCTTGGCTGTTCTGCTTTTGCCTCTGCCTTCTCCTCTTCGTCTTCTAACTACAGGCCTACTGCTGTGCTAAACGTGCGCCGCAGCTTCTTCTTCGTCTTTGCAATATTATCTCTCGTACGGATTTCGATTTTCTTCGCCATGCGTTTCATCGACATCTGCTCTTCCTCTTCACCCACCTTCTCTTGCTAACTGTGACTTGGCTTCCAATGCTTGCGGGCCCGCTCTATACCACTTGGTGATATACTCTCGTTACTCATTGCTTTCGGAGCAATGTGTCACCCACAAATTACGTGTATGTACGCCTCTGGGTCACTCTCCCGAGTCGAAGCTTGCGCAAGAGCTTTCTTTCCTTTCCTTCTGCTATGTCCTCGATATGTGCGGCTGTATACCAGTAAACGATGATGCACGTGACACTCGACGCGAGGGAATTATCAGCTCGGTATTACCGCGTGATTACACGCGTATATTCGTGTAAACAAACTTTGCATAGAAAAAAAAAAAAAAAAAACAGTCCTGATGCGTGTCCCTTGCTGCAGTCGCATTCAAAACCAGACGTAACTTTCTTCGTCAACGACGAATCTCAAGTGTCTAGTCACGATAGGCACCAAGGTTTACGATGTTGGACGATAAGGAGGTTGAGATGGCAGCAGTGGCCAGTTCGCGCCTACCCTNTAAATAAATAAAGGGAAAAGCCGAGGCCCCTGCACTCAAAGAGGATTTATTTCACAATACCGCGGTGCAAGTCTCGCGTGGAAGCGCGGCCAGCCAGCCTAACCCACGTCGACGACGACTTCACTACCGAGTAACTACTGAAAAGCCTCTCTGGTGCTCCTCCTCGGACCTCACGAGCCGCCCGCTGTTGCTGCCTCTGTCGTCGACGCGCATATGAAAGCCAAGCAAGACAGAGAGGGAGGGAGGGATGACGATGATACTGTTGTTCTTGCGCCTCCTCCCGTCCAAAATAGCCGGGTCGGTTCCGATATATATATCTCTGTGTGCACGGCAGTGGAAGTAGGTGTGTTAATGCACGCACATCGGCAAAGCCTCAAGAAGAAGGAGATGGAGAGGAAGAAACGAGCAGTTGAGATCTCGGCTCTCCTCCCTTGCCGATGCTGCGTCGCGTTGGCCGATGGTGGCGTATTAAAATATATTACACGCGCGTTGCTCCTTTTTCTCTTTGCTGGTGCCTTTCTTCCGGCCTCTTGTTCCCCGTCTCCCTCGCTCCTTCGTGGCGACGAATGTACACACGACAAACAAGAGCCAAGAGGGGGGAAGGGAGCTTTCTCGGGCGGCGCTGAATCATCCACTATATGCACCGTACGTACGTAGCGGTGGCGGGCGATCACGTGGCTGCTGCGAATCAATGGCGGATTAGCGTGTATTTTTATTCCCCTTTTGTGTTCCGGCGAGGCCGCGCGAGCTTTGTTTCTGCGTGTCCTCCTCTGCTTGTCCGCCGTCCAACGGGAAAAGCTGCACGAGCTTTGTCGGGGCTTTCCTGGAACCGCGGATTTCGCGAAACGGCGGCGATAACTAACGGGGGAGCTTCCGTTTCGCCATCGCAAGCTCTCCTTTCTCGGAGATAACAGGGCCCGTGTGTTTACACTTGACTTT